CGCGGGCATGTTGTTTGGCTTTGGTGCTGTGCAATTGTGTTTGGGAGAGGTTGAGTTTGGGTGGGGAAAAAAATTGCGGTCCAGACTTTTTTCGGGAGACCGTGGTTGCCAACCCCGCAAAGTGCCCAAGCTTACAAGGGCATGTCGGCAGGTGGAATCCACTGATGGCAGGGATACCTGGTAGCCAGGGGAAGGCGGGCAACAGCCTCCTCATGTTGTTTTTCGTAATCGACTTGGGATCTACCCAATGAGTGTAGTAGTGTGGTAGACTCAGCTGATTGAGTAGGATTGAAAAGACTTGAATTATAGAACAGACATCTATCTGGGAACCTCAACTGAAGGTACCAAAATAAGGTGCAATTGATCAGTGCTTCAAGTACCTAACGTGGGTGCTAACCCAACCCTCTGACCCACCTACTCAGGCCCTGGCTCGGGCTATCAGAGGCATGACTCTGTTAGCGCAGCCCTTGCCGAGCCTTCCGATCTGGGCTGCCCGATCCAGAGTCGCAACCCGGGGCAATGCTACCATCCGCAATGGCTGGCCAGGATCCTACCTCGGATCAAATCGCGCATGGAGACGGATGCCATCCATCGGCCAGGAAGTCGGGCAGTTACTTGGCTTTGCCTTGTACAGCATGCAAATACTAGGTACCTCTTGCAGAGCAGGCGCCTGCCTTCCCGCGTTTCCGCCCGCGACTTCCCGTTGATGTTTCCCAACAGCGTGCGAGGCAAGAGCGACCCACCACATACGGCAGACGGGACGAAACAAAAACGACGAGGCGCAGTCGTCTGGCGGTGCTCGCAGGCACGGGAGATGGACAGAGCGGCGCCAAGCGACGCTCTACTCACCAACATCCGCTGCTACCCGACCTGACCTCCAGCTTTCGGCCCTCGGATGTCTCGCCAAAGCATAGCCTCCTCCATCGTCCATGATTCCAGTCACCAAAGAGCGCAGGGAGACGACAGCCTCGACGCTCGAGTCGCACATCGCCGCGCCCGGCACGTCTGTTCGCGCCAACATGCAAGGCCATGACATGCAGGGGTCATCCCTTGGACGCGTACGGTTGCGTTGGCACACATCTCGCCACTACCTACCCACCTACACCTACACTACATCTTCAAATTTAAACTCACACTCACACGTGCGCGTATCGGGCTAGAAACAGCACTCTTGCAGGACCCCGCAGGAAAATAGATTTCCATGGAGGATTGGAAAGTCAACTTGAGTCGGCGGCCGACGATGGAGCAGCAGGATTGGACATACGTGCATAATGGCGAGTTGATGGTCCGACGCCGCCGCGTTGCATATTCCTGAGCCTGGACTCGGTACCGGCTGCGGTTCGCGAACGCCTTTCCCATGGCAACAAGCAGTCAATGCGGATGATGAAAGGCAGCCAAGGACAAGGGCTTTGTCGTCGACCACGACTGGCTCCTCCATCTGTGTCTGACGGCATTTCCCTCACCGGTCACGCCAATGCCGCCACGGGCGCTGATTCTTCCATATACGAGAAGAACAAGGGAGGTGATGGGGTCATACGGCGGCACGGCCGCATTCGTCACACTCTGGCGCAGGCCGCCAGGCTGCCCATGAGGGGCATGTGTCTACCCGTCTGCTCCAGGTCGCACACTTGACAGCTCACGAACTACTACGCATGTTCCTTGCCGTTTCCCGCTTTCCGGCATGGGGTTCCTGTGCCACGAGAGATCGCGGCTAAGTGCATTAGAGTATTATCGACTGCTGTTAGCACTTTGCTCGACACTAGCGGGAGACGCAACGCTCGACACCCGCTCGGCGGGCGGGGCCTGGGGCGGCCGACAAGGGGTAGTATCGCCACTCCGAACGAAGGCGATGACTGGCCGACGAGAGTGGCGGGGACGCCACTAGCTCTAAACAATGTCACGAGTACCAAACGTTTCCGCTGCAGCCAGGCAGGCATGGTGACGAACACCTTTTTACTCGGGGTGTCGTTTAAGGCTTGATAACGACGTTTGCTAGACTCCGAGTGGTCGATCTGACGACACCAGTGCCATACGCAAGCACTCAGGTATGGCTGGTACCCAAGTATCTCTACATATGAGCCTAGGGAATCGCAAGAGTGCCGTTGAATGGCGCGGGCGGTTGTCGGCCCTTGCTGGCGCGTGGTAGGCCGGGTCATCCCTGCTTGTGCTTCTGGAACCTTTTTTTCCCTCCCCCCTTGCTTAGCGACAGGTCCGGGAGGTGGAGCAGAGCGGGTGTCCCGTTCGTGGCTGCTTCCCACATCCCTGGATGTCGAGCCTGGGGTAGACCTAGGGTATGCATGCTTTCCGTCTCACCAACACCAACTCGCTCTTGCTCCCTATCCCTCCCGCCGTTGTCCAGCTTCTTCCTCACCCCACCACCGAGCCACCCCCATAAGCTGATATTTCCGGCTGAGAGTCCGACGCGGATAAGTCGGCTTAGCGGCCAGACTATTTGTGATGATGTGGACTGTTTATCTGTCCGTCTACAAATCAGTTGATGCGATCATGAGCGTGTGCTGAGTGGTCCTGTTACCTTTGGCCTTGGGTTTGGATGATAGCCCGCCGACAAGGGCGCGAACAGGCCACTAGTCTCTGGGACTTGTGTACGTATCCCCCGCCTTCAAGCCAAGAAAGGCACCCGAACCGCCTATGTTTCAAAGCCTGCGGGATGCGAAGGCTCAGATTGGTCTCGTTGGCTCTCCATGCGGTCAGTAGCCTGCCTGCCAATCACGGTGCTAACTTGACGCTGCATTACCATGGAACATGGTAGGTACTTGGGCATCATTTGATACTTGGGCAGACAAGTACCTCCCTAGGTAGGTAGGTACTTCAAGTCTAGCGATCTTAGCGGCCTTGAGCCATAGCTTCTCGATGGATTAGCTTGACGGGACGAATGGTCTGGCCGCCCTGGGTCTAGGCTCTCTGTTGCCGACGTTGAGCTGATCAAGGCGCAAAAGGTACTCCAAGCACCCGGTGAACCGCCACATGCAGCAGAACCTCAGGGGCAGAGACGACGCACCCACTGCCCTGGTCTAGAGAAATGGCTATTCGCTTCCGAGTCGATACGTGCTTTGCGAGCGAGCGGCAGCCAGCATAGCGGGGAATTTAGTCTCTGGCTTTGCAGCAGTAATGGCAGGTAGATCAAGACGTGCTCATGTCTGTCCGCCACATGCGCCCGAGCACTCGCATGGCATATCCTTAAGATCCGACTCTTGCGCGTCCACGTTTCGATAGCCTCAGTCGTGCGATTCACGTGGTCCTTGCGAAATCAACCCATGTCTGATTGCCAACACGCGTACACGATATGTTAACGGTCATACATCTCGTCGTTTAGCGAGCGTGGAAGGATGGACTGCGTGCGGCCTTGATGAACATGGAAGGACGGAATCCTTGGTCGTGGCCGGGCTGCCGTCCGTAGTTGCTCTTCTCAGCTCCGAGGGGGGGGCCAGCCAGTCTCGGTCGGGCATCTGGGCGCAATGCCCGCTTCCACCAAGAAGGATCCTCTCACCTGGAAGAAAGAAAAGACAGGACGACACATGAAGCCTGCCTGATTACTATTCAACTAATGGGGGCGGTCATCAAACCACGCCCTCAGCCGCCTTGGATGCTTGTCATGACCTCGGGCGGGAAACAGGGATGGAGGACCATGGGAATAGAAGGGGACAAGCCGGCACTGTCATCATCGCCACTCGGTTGCCGTGGCCATCCCTGTTTCCACCCCCGCCCTCCGCCATGTCCTCATGGTGGGAGAAAGATGGCGAACTCAATCAACCGGTGGACCAACCGGCGGGCAGCCGTGCCATCCCGCGCTCGATCCGGCTCGAGGAGAGGGGGCGGCGATTGGTGCACTATGTTGATTGCGGATGCCACTTGGGCAAAACAGGCTTCCTTCAACACACGGACGCACATGGAGGACATGGAGGCTAGGAAAAAGAGCCCGTCCGTCGACAGGGGTGGTGGGGGGAGTCTTGATGGTCCAAGGTGTGGGTTCGTTCCAGCGCGCTGGTTTCCCCCCCCCCGACAGCGGGGTGGAAACCTTCTTTCGATTGTTTCCCTCCCATCTTGTTCAGCCGTATCGGTGGTTAGGTCAAGTGTGGACAGGGAAGCTATAAAAAAGCACGAGCTCAGAAATTTCGGATGCAGCTTCCCTCCGGATGTCGGATATCTCATGGGCTTGCTGCCGCTCGACCTCATGATCGCGGGCAGGTGTGTTTGCGCCTACAATCGTTCTCCCCAGCACATCTTTGCTCATGGAGAAGTGGCCCTGAGGGAGGGATTTCTGAATGACGAGCTGACTAGAAAAACTGCACAAAGTGAAAAGAGTTTCGTTTGCAGATCAGCACTTTTAGCCGGATCGGTAGACTCTCACAAGATGTCCTGTTATCAAGCTACGTCCGACTCGGTCAGCCAGGTCACCTCGAACAACGCAGCAGCCCAGTATGTGGTTTGAACTCGTGATTGATTAGCTAGTGCGAGGAGATAAGAAAACCCAAACTATTTTCAGTCTTTACCATCTTGAGCGTCCAAAACAAGGCATTATAAAACCCAAGCAACAAAGAAGTCTGAGTACAGAACTCTGGTCGATATCATGAGGGCCGCGTTTCGAAAGGAATGGAAGCGTCCAGGTGGACCCAAGGGGGATATTAGAGGCAGGCGAGTGAGATGGACATGGAAGAAATAGAGAAACGGAATGAACACGCAAGGATTTGCAAAACAAAAACCAATTAGACATCCGAGCAGTCGAGTAAATCAGATCTAAAGCAATTGTCATACCCCGATGGGTGTAAAAGCGCAGGCAACAAGCAAGCCAAAGAGATCATGCGGAGGAAAAGGAGCAACAAAAAAAGCAACAACAAGAGAGGTGCAGCAGAATTAGTAAGATGTGAACCGTCGAGCAAGAGAAGCAAAAATAGCAGGAACGCCCCCTTGCCATGTTCCAAAAGTCTGAAGGAAACGATAAAGACGCAGGGCAAAGAGCCGCACACACAAAACGCTGTGCCATGTCATTTCCAGCGCCGGGCGCTGATGGTGGTGGCGGTGATGGTGAGAATCGAGATGATGCCGGAGCCCTCTGAGATGACGGCTCAGGAGAGGGCTCGGTAGTAGTCGTGAGAGGATACCAAGGAAAGTCTGCAGTAGTGCAAGGACAAAAAACAAAAGAGGTGACAAAGGAGCGTCGTTGTGCGACACGACGAGTCTGGGGTCTGCTGTTGTTGCTGATACCACCGTCGCGCTCCCATCCTCCTCGCCTTCTCAGCACAGGGCCTCGCGCATGAACGAGCCCAGCTGCTTGGCCTGGAAGGGTGAAGAAACAGAGGTTAGTGTCTGGTGTCAGGAAGGAGTGGGATGGAAGAAGATTACTCACAAAAGAACCATGCATCATGGAAAAGTGGTTTCCGGGCATGTGCCTCATAGTCATCTTTCCGACGTCGAGGTACTCATCCCAGCGGTTGGGGCCAAAGTCGACCCTGTTGTCGAGTAGGAACAGCGCGTGGCCGGTGGGGTAAGGGTCCGGGCGCGGGTCGGTGGGCAGGTGGCAGACGCCGTCCTCGCACCAGATGGCCATGACCTTGGGGCACTTGTCCTTGGGGATCGGCTCGGCCGTGTAGTTGGACAGGGCCGTGACCGAGGCCGCGAAGTGGGGGAGCAGCCAATCCGGTATCTTGGTCTCGTCGCCGTCACCCAGAAGGCCGATCTCGGCGAACCACGCGTGGAGCGAGCGAGGCAGCGGCTCGATGGTGATGGGGCAGGGCGCGTCGATGATGATGAGGTTGGACACCGACTCGCCCACCTTGGTCAGCTGGTTCACGATCTCATAGGCGATGACACCACCAGCGGACCAGCCGGCCAGGCTGTAGGGGCCGGCGGGCTGACGGCGCCTCATCTCCTCGATGAACTTGGCCGCCATGCCGTAGACGCCGCAGTTGTACTCGTCGGGAGTCTTCATGAAGGGCGAGAAGAGCCCCCAGACGGCCCAGTCCTGGCCGATCTCGGAGATCTCGGTATACGAGGTGGCACAACCGCTGCCATCGGGCACCATGAAGAGGTTGTGCGTCGCGGTCCTGTGGCTGCCCTGCAAGAGCACCGAGGTGGCCTTGCGGTGCGGGTAGTTGTCTACAATCTCCTTCGGCGGAGGCGGCTTGACGATGGAGGCCGTCACCTGCGAGGGCGGGATGGCCGTGGTCGGCGGCAGGGGCCTGACCTTCTCGGCCTTGACCTTGTGGGCCTTGGCGGGGGCGGCCTGGGGCACGGGCTTGGGGACAGCGCTGATGCCGAGGGCGCGCTCCACGTCCTTGAGCGACGAGTTGTTGACGAACAGGTCCGCCGAGATGTCCATGCCTGTGCGCTCCCGCAGAGTCCCGAGAATCTGCAGGCTCATGAGCGAGTCCATGCCGAGATTGGCCAGATCGGGGGCGGCGATAATCTCGTCGACCTCCATCCCCATCTCAGTGGCGATGGTGTTGCGGACGGCCTCGCGGAGAGCGTCGTTGTTGGACACCTCGGCGCCGGCCGACTTGTCACCCTTGAGCGAGCCCGTCTCGCTCTCGTCGGCAGGGGTGGTGACATCCGAGTCGGTCTCGAGGTCTCCAGAGTCAGACGAGGCCGAGCTGGAGCTATCCTCGGAAGGACCCGGAGGGCCCTCGAACTGGGCCAGGAAGTCCTTGAAGGCACCGATGGTCGGGTGGTCGACGAAGGCGTGAGAGTCGATGTTCAGGTCCATGTCCTCGCGGATGCGGCCGCTCACAGTGAGCGACATCAGCGAGTCCACACCAAGATCGGTGAATGCAATGTTGTCCGCGAGCTCATCGTGGCTGACGCCAACCTCCTGAGCCAGGATGTCAAGCACCTGTGAGACGACCGTGGCCAGCTTCTGGTTGACCTTGGCGATGGTCTTGGGCGTGACACCCTTGGACTTCTTGGCGGGGGCGGCCTTGGTAGCAGGGCGGGCAGCGGCGGCAATGGGGCGGGCAGCGGGAGCGCCGACGGCAGCAGCGCCGCGGGGCGGCATCATCATGTTGAGGACCTTGCGCGGGATGCACTGGAACTTGAGTTCGCCACACATGCCGATGATCTTGTCGCCGTCGTAGACATAGACATCGCCGGCGTACACCTTGGAACCCCTGACGGGTTGCATGCGCACGTAGCTGCGGTACTCCTTGGTGGCGACGGGAAGCTCGGTGAACTTCATGGCGCCCCAACCGTGCGAGATGAACACCTGGTCGCGAGAGTCGATAGCGTCTGTGCCATTGACGATGAAGCCCGAGATGTGGCACAGGCTGTCAATCCAGTAGGGGCTGAAGACGAATTTCCCATCCTGCTCTGAGGTCTGGAACTTGATCTTGGCGGTGGCCTCGCACGTGTCACTGTCGAGCGTCACCTCCTCCATGCCGCGGTAGCGGGGGTTGTAGTCGACCAGGGCATTGAACAGCTTGTAGGCCAGTCCACGGCCAATCTTGGAAGCCTTGCCCTCCTTCTCGGCGGCAATGAGGCTGTCGATGCGCGACTTGATGAGGTACGAGACGCGGTCGAACTCGCCTTGCCAGTCCTCAGTGTTGCCAAACAAGACCTTGCAGTTGGCATGGCCGATGCGCTTGGCACCCTCGCCTGTGTGGTAGACCACCTCGGCACTGTTGGTGGCCGTGTTGACCGTGGTCGTCATCCTCAGGACGTGGGCCTCGAGGTTCTCGTCAAAGATGAGCGTCTTGGGCACCTCCATGTGGCTGACGTTTACACCAAGATTCTTGGCATCTGGCTTGACCAGCTTGTAGGCGTAGTCGCAGACGGTGATGGCCATATCGGCGTACAGTGACGAAGGGCACAGAGGGGCGCCGTTGACAAGATGGCCAGTCACGACGCCGCGGATGTCCTCCCTGGACAGGTTGGTCTCGATCTCGACGATGGAGACATCACCCTTGACCTCCTCACTGAGCACCTTGTGGACCGTCGTCGTCTCCAGCTTGGGCTTGACCACGGTGGCCGGGGGGAGCGCCTTGTTGAAGCCGCGGTTCTTGATGAGACTCCAGTCGCCTTCGTACTGGATCCAGTAGTTCTTCTCGTCAAAGGCATAAGCCGGAGTGTCGAGGTTCCTGACGGACGAGATGAAGTCGTTGTGAAACTCATTCCAGTCGATCTTGAGACCGGCAGTGTGCAGCGTGCACAGGCTGGCGCTGAGCGTCTTGTACAGCGACGGCTCGTTGCGGCGGAGAGTGGGAACAGCAACTGTGGAGGCCCCAAAGGCGGCCTTGACCATGTTGGAGCAGACGGGGTGAGGGCCAACCTCGATCCAGGCCGTCGTCTCGTCAATGGTGCCAGACTGTTGAGCAGAGACGAGGCCTCCAAGGAAGTTGACGGCCTCGCGAGCGTGATCGCGCAAGTACTTGGGATTGATGGGCTCGTTCTCGACAAGCTTGCCCAGCAGGGGAGAGATGATCGGCACCTTGGGGAGGCTGAAGCGCACCGAGCGTGCAAGCGTCTCGAACTCATCCAGGATGGTGTCGACCTGGGCCGAGTGGAATGCGAAGGGAACCTTCAGCTGGGTGCACTTGAAGCCCGCTGCCGTCAGCTGCTGGGCAATCTCGGCCATTTCGCCAGCCTCTCCGCTGAGAACGGTCTCGCGCGGGCCGTTGATGCAAGCCACGTTGGTGGTGGCGGCCTTGTCGCCGAGGGCATCCTGGACAACGGAAACGGCGCCCTGGACGGCCAGCATGGCGTGGGTGCCGGCAGTGCACTTCTCTACAAGGAGCTGAGCACGAACTCCGACCAGGTAGATGGCGTCGCTCGCAGACAGAACGCCAGCCACGTTCAGTGCGGCGTACTCGCCGAGGCTGTGGCCAAGGACGGCCGAGGGCTTGACGTCCCAGGAAATCCAGAGGCGAGCAAGAGCCATCTCGAAGCAGGCCAGACCAAGCTGAACCACGACAGGTGACAGCTTGGACACATCCGGCTCGCTGCCGTCAATGAGCGGCATGAACGAGGGGAAGCCGTGGATCTGGGCAATGTGATCGAACTCGTTGATGCTCTGGTGGAACACCGAGTGGTTGGCGTACAGCTCCTTGCCGAGGCCGGCGTAGTGCGAGCCCTGGCCCGTGAACAGGAAAGCAACCTTGGGCTGCTCCGACGAAACGGGGACGAAGTTCTCCTGGAGGCGAGCGCGCAGAAGCTGCTGGGCCTCGGCCAGGTCGCTCGCCGCCACGTTCATGCGCCAGTAGTGCTGCTGGCGGCGAGCAGTGGTGGTGTAGGCGAGGTGCGACAGCGGGGTGTCTGGGTGCTTGTCGATCCACGAGACCATGCGCTCGGCGTTGTTGAGCATCGAGGTCTTGGACTTGCCCGTGATGGTAACAACGTGGACGCTGCGCGGGTCCGGGGTGGCCGGTGAAAGAATGGGAGCATCCTCCAGAAGCAGGCCCGTGTTGCCACCGGCAGCGCTGAAGTTGTTGATGAAGACGCGGCGCAATTTGCCGTCTCGCCTCTTGAAGGGGGTCATGTGGAAGGCAATGTTGACATTGCGCTCGGCAAGATCCTTGGGGAAGGTCTTGTTGATGACGGAGCCCTTCTTGATACCGACGTGCGGCGGGATCGCGTTGTTCTGGAGCATGAGCAACACCTTGCACAGCGCAGTGATACCCGATGCAGCCTCACCGTGGCCCAGATTTGCCTTGACGGCGCCGAGGTAGAGGGGACGATCGGCCGGCCGCTTCCTGCTGGCCGGCGCAAAGACGTCAGTGACCGACACCATTTCGGTGCCGTCGCCGGCCTGTGTGCCGGTGCCGTGCATCTCGACGTAGTCGACATCGAGCGGGTCCACGCCGGCCTCGTCGAGAATGGCCGAGGAAAGTATGGACTGGGTAGGCCCGTGGGGGTGTGTGATAGAGATGGCATCAGCCGAGTGGTTGGTGGCTGTGCCCAGGATGACGGCCAGAACACGGTCGTTGTCCGCGACGGCATCCTCAAGCCTCTTGACAATGACCGAGGCGCAACCGTCACCACGGCAGTAGCCGTCGGCCTCGTTGTCGAAGGTGGCGCAGGGACCCTTCTTGGACAGGAACTGGCCACGACTGAGACCGGCGAAAATGTCCGAGTTGGTCATGCACGACAGACCACCGACAATCGCCGTGTCGCAGTCACGGGCCCAGAGAGACGAGCAGGCGACGTTCATGGCGGCGGCGCTGGACGAGCAGGCCGTGTCAATGTTCAGACTCGGCCCGCTGAAGCCGAAGTGGTAGTTGATCCTGCCGGGGCCGAAGGCACGGACACCACCCGTGATGTAGTAGGTGTCGACCGTCTGCGCCGCGTTGATCTCACGCCAGTCGTCCGAGGTCTGACCGTAGAAGGTTCCGATACGGTCCAGCCGCGTCGAGGGCGTCCTGTTGGGAACGTAGCCGCTCATCTCCAGGGCCTTGTAGGCCGTCGTCAGGGCCATCCTCTGCATGGGGTCGGTCTGGAAAGCCTCGCGGGGCGACATGTTGAAGAAGCGCGGGTCGAACATGCCCGGATTCTCGATCCAGCAGCCGTAGGGTGTGTGACTAGTGTTGACAGCCTTGCCGGTGGGGTCGACGTGAGTGGCGACAGGGAACCGTTCCGGGGGCACCTCGCGGTGGACATCGAGGCCCTTGCACAGCAGATCCCACAGCTTCTCGTGGTCCGCCGCGTCGGGGAACACACCAGACATGCCGACAATGGCAAGCTTGCACCGGCCTGTCGACCCATGGTTGCCAATGGGCGTCTGGCTCTCCCTCGATATTTGCGCGGCTTGGCGCAGAGTCACCTCAAGCTCCGTGTTCTCCTTGAGGAGGTTGGCAAGAGTGGCCGCATGCTGTGTCGGCCCGAAGGGAATGATGAGCGAAGCCTTGCCCGTGAAGTCGCGGGCCTGCTGCAAGCAGCCGTCAAGGACCTTGCGGAACCGAAGAGGCTGCGTGAGGATCTCGGTCACCACCGAGGTGAAAAGTGCCTTGGTGCTCGAGACGTCGAGCCAGGTGCCGCTCTCGCATGACATGACCTTTGACCGCGGCTTCGTGTTGACAAAGGCGTCGACCACTGCGGGGCTGTCGAGCTGCAGGATGCTCTCGACGTCGGCGGGGCGGTGGAGATGTGCTGCGTGGTACGGGCCATAGACCGGGATGGATGTGGCCTTGGATGCGTACGTGGATGCAGCCCGGAACGCCTTCAGCGTCGATGGCGGACCCGAAATGGCGCAGTTCGCCGTCGACGTGGCGCTTACCCAAGCCCGGCTGGCCGGCGAGATGGCCTGGTTGTGCAACGGTGCTCAGCATGGAGAACAGATATCGGATAGGGACATGGCATCAAGGCAGGTGACAGCTTACCTGCGTGCTGTGGAACTCCGAAATCTCCGCCTGGGCGGCTTCCTCGGTGAGACCCGGGACGATGCAAGTCCAGCTCTCGGAGCAGTCCGTGCTTGGCTCTAACCTCTCGGCCAGGGCGGCCACCTGAGAGCCCGTCCTGAATGCCATCAGGACGGTCTGGACGGCTAGCGGGACGAGGCTGGACACGGATGTTGTCGAAGCGATTGCCGAGGCTGCGAACAGGCCCGAGCACAAGCCCACAAGGTGCGTGTTCTCGTGTTGCGTGACATCTTCGTAGTGCTTCTCCGCATGGCTGTTGAAGGGTGGGAGATCAATCACGATTAGCAAAACGTTCCCAATAGTTTGTACTTCTCCCTCCACCCCCCGACCATCCACGCCCCCATCTATCCGTCCATGCGCGTAGCCGCAGGTTCACGTCAGAGGGGCTGTCAAAACTCACTCGATGTAGTCGACGAGCTGTGAGATGGCAAGGAGGGCGCTGTCGATGCCCGAGTGCTTGAGCACTTGTGAATGATAGCGCTCGTTGAGTTGGCGGAGGTTGCGGAAGATTGGCAGCTTCGACCGCTCCAGCCTTGGTAGTCTGTCGACCTCGGATCTCAGAGCCTCGCCGGCCTGGTCGAGGAAGGCCTTGGCCAGGATGCCCTGGTCCTCACGCCGGTAGAAGTCGGCAAGGAACCCGTGGGTGTCGAGAGACTGGTCTCCGAAGAGAAGGAAAACCAGCAGCTTCTCCATTGTGAGGGATGAATTGGCTGGAATCTCTCGTGGATGTGTGGTTGTGAACCTTGGATGGGATGCTAAGGCTTGGGTAAACTGCCTCTGGTGAGAAGCCGTCGACGAAGCTTATATATCTGTATGAGACCTGTCGGACTGGATCGGCAACCCGGGTCAGGGCGGGCCAAAAATACCATCCGAGATGTCATATCATCCATCGATACCAGGGCACATCTAACCACCTGCGTCCACGCCCAAAGCAGGTGGGGCCTGCCCGTCCCTGGACAATCAACTACGACGGTAGGGGCAAGACGAGGGGGTGAAGGGACAGGACGGGATCAGAGGGCGTGCGATGAGATGTTGGCGGAGGTCTGAGTGCAAGGGGGCGCTGGCCAGGGATCCCGTAACGACACACCCCCTCATCCAACCAACGACGCCCCGTCTCGACTGTGCCATTTTTGGGGGGGTTATTTCATCTTTTGTTTTTTTTTCTTTTTTCTTTTTCTCTTTTTTCTTCTATGTTAATTTATCTCCAGGCACATTTTCTTTTTTTTTACCTTCCCCTTTTTTCGCTCTAGCCTCTGTTCGTAGTGGGAACAGCGTGGCTCGGCGTTTGTGGAGCTTCGGTGACCGAGCGCCATGAAAGATTATCATCCTTCTGCCTCATTCGGAACACGTCCCCCAGTCGATTTGCACGGCAGCCACTCGGCCCATGCATCTGGGCAGGCAGTTGTGCATTGCTGACATTCTTCCCTCAGGTATGGCGCGGCACACCCCCGGGAAGGACTCCAGAAGCTGAGCCAAATTCAACCTTGGCGGTCCGGAGGTACCAAACGCCAGCAGGGGCGGGAGGGGGGCGTAACAACCCCCCCAGAGTCACAGCCATGACGAAAGTCCATCCAGAGGACCGGCGAGGCAGGGAGATATCGGTGTGAGACGGGCGGCTGGCATTGGTGGTTGGCTGGTAACCAAATCCGCTCCCAGACAGCCCCTCATCCTCTCCGACCATGATATCGTGTCAGCAGGTGTGGGCGTGGACCGAGGGCCGTCGGGACCGTCCCACACATGGCGGACAAACAGGATGGATATGGCATGCAAGGCAAACCCACCGCGCGCGGGCGCGCAGGCTGGAGGTGACACCGCAGCAGGCATTGTCTGGCAGATAGATAGGCCGGCCAGGCAAGGCGTGGGATGATGTTTCGTGGGTTTTCTCCAGCAGACCAACACGAGGACCGAAGGTAGGGCCTGAAACCCAGAGGGACGCTGGAGCGTGGTGCCGGAAGGGCAGCCAAGCGCCTACCGGCCGCCTGTATTATTTGTTTCAGCACAGTCGAACACGCTCGATGGGGTACGAGATGGGATCGCGGCTCGGCAACATCGAGCGGATGACGGCCAGACCTTGGGTCACAGCTCCCCCGCGGGGGCCACTGCTGTGGGTGCTCCTGTTTCTGGCGCTAATGGCTTATGGTCTGAGGCAGGAGAAGCAGCAGCAGCAGCAGCAGCAAGCAAGCAGCAGGCGCACTGAAACAGGTGCCCGATACGAGGCGCGGCACAGAGCTCAGACCCAGGGGAGGCAGCGGCAGGGCGGCAGCGGTGCGGTCGTCGTTGACCCGGTACGTATCGTCCAGGGCCGGCCTGACCCTTGCGGGCGGGCCAGAGTCTAATCCCGCATTGGGGATCGCGTGGTGCTTGTCCGGCCGGAGTTCCCCAAGCCATCAGCGGATGCGAAATGAGACCCCCCAGCGAGCGACGCCCGCTCCAAGGCAGCACCCAATTCATGGCAGGCATGCGGGCCAATGGTGTGGAGATTTAGCCGCGAGTGATGATGCCATCGACTGGCAATACCGAGCCTGGCGTGACCCAGTGTGTCTGATGAGGGAGGCCTTGGAGATTGGAATTGGGAGCGCGATGGAAGGAATTGAACGCCCTCGATCTGGGAGAAACAATGGCAAACGATCCGGGGCAGTTGCTCGCGCTAGCGCCCAAAGAGGGCAAGCGTGGCTTGGCCTGGGCCGACGCCCGGAGCCTCACGCTCAGCAGAACAGGAAAGCGCGGGGGTGGGTTCGCTGGGCAGGAAGCACCCACCCGCCACCCGAGCCGTCCGAAGGCGACATGCCCGCGCAAACACCTCCTAATCACAACAAACAAAAGGTCGCAGCAATGTTACGCTCCGAAGGCCCCGCTGGTAGGGCTATGCCGGATAGCACCTCGACGGTGCAGCACAGCCTGGGGGAATTTTGCCCAGCGTGGGTTCCACCCAACCACTTGGATTCTCCGCAGCTGAGGATTGAGCAGTTTCCGTCGTAGGCAAGCATTGATTCATTCTGCCAGTGGTCGCAATTGCAGCTACAGGTTACGAGGATATTAAACGTTAAGCTATGGGCCCAACAAGGGGGGTCGGCCAGGGTATTAGCAAGGGGGGTAGGGGTACATATTTCAAGTCAAAATTTGTAGTAGGAATCAATGTATTGTAACTAACAGCTTGGGACAATTCTAGTGGGTTCTGGCAAATGGAGGCCCGGGTAGCGGTACATTAATTTGGCGGGACTTTCTATGGGGAAGAATGTAGACTGGACCTGGCCTAATTAGGAATGATCTACGGGTCGTAACGTTTAATATCCTTGTAACCTGTACGTCTGGTGCAGTTACGAGGTGGCGGCGGCAGCAAGGCGGCTATCTATCAGCACACACCCCTCTCACAACCTGAAGCGTGTGGTCTCCAGGTTCTTGCAGTTTCTTGCAATGCAAAATCCCGACTCATGGCAGCCGCCACGATTGCAATCCTGGCAAGCCCACAAGCCTCCTCCTTCGTGATCCGCATCAGTCAGTCAGGTTGCTACAGAGCCCACGACCCTCATGGCGTGGCAGAAAGAAAAAAAAAGGCCCACGCGCAAACGAGGTCCTTTCCCCTGACAACTAGCGGACGGACTCTGACCTGACACTGCGACCGGGACCGACCAGCGCGGTCGTCAGCACAGAGCTACCCCCAAACCCGCAGAGCTGAGCACCGATCGATATCCCACAGAAAAGGGCGGGGGACGCTTGCGCGGCGAAGAGAGCTGCCGAAAATAGGGCCGCCAAGATTGTGACCCTCCTAGTCGCAGACCGGCGCGTGCACGTTGGCCATGCACAAGTAGTAGGCCCAACGGTAGGAGACGAGGAGCAGTCCACTCAGGTACAATCATGTCCGCCCTGACGAGGCCTGGGTCGAGAATAGGACTCCCTGGACGCGGCCCTTGGCCGGCGGCACCATCACTTGTCATGGCCCAGTCCGGAGCGGGCGGGGAAAGCCCAACGGGAGCGGACTCGTTCAGCTGAGGACGGATTCGGCTGGTTCCTGCAGTGGCCTAGCCCGGTTTGGAGCTCCCCGGTAGTTGCATCGCTCGACGCTCGACGCTGGCGGGACAGCTCATGTTTGGGTCGTTGCCTGGCAAACAAGGTTTTCTTTTCTTGGACTCGAGCGAATTCGGCAACCTCGTCCTTTCTCCGGTGTGCCCGGCCTCTCCAAACCACTGCCCATCCCGTCGACGTTTGGTTCCAACCTTGCGCATCTCCACTCATCTAACAGGTGTCAAGTTGATTGGGAATGGCGGTAAGCCGGATCACGAACCCGACGCTTGCCCGCGGCGCTCAGAGTCTTCCCTGGATTTTGAGGTCAGCCCCCCCGTTTCCCAAGCTGGAGAGTCTCTCTCCAGCTGCTCATTCTTGTCATCTCTGAGATACACCGGGCTGCCAGGCTCGCGGAGAGAGCCGCAAATCCAGGACCGCTGGAATGGGCTCTAGATGTACTTGGGAACCAAAGAAGGATCGGGAGTATCGATCGACGATCACAACGGGCATCAAAAGCCATGGCCCCAGGTTACCCCACACACACACACACACGCCCTTTCTTAACCATTATGAGCAGAATGCAACCTACATTAGCCAGCTAACTTTGTCATGCGCGTTCGGACTCGCGCCGGGTGAAGGGAGGGGAAAACAAGGTTGGGCTCTTTCGCCTTTTCGTTCCTCCAACATTGTGGGAGCAGCTGTCCTGATTTCGCCATTTTCCGCTCATGGTTTGCCTTCTCGTAGCCTTCCATTTCTGTATGTCCTCGTTCATGCACTCGATACCACCAAAGCCTTCTATTGGAGCATACTAATTGTCATGTTATTCTGCACCCGCTCCCTGTCTTGGGTTTCTTTTCCTTTCCTTCTTATCTTGTTCTGCCCCGCTCACGTCCCTATGGGACGAAACAGGCAAATCGACCAACAAGGGCAAAAAAGCAAAGTGAGAAAAAAAAAGCAAAGAAAAATCACACATGCTGACCTCAGCGGGACCGAGCTGGCGGGACAGGCACCGGATTTGTTCGCGGGACCCTACTTGGCAGCACGGCGTCTGCTGCCGCCGTCAGACATGGCATGGCTGGTATATCCCGGACAAGATCGTGTCTGGGAGCTCCAGAGTTGCAGATGGCGATGCGCTGCGAGGTCCCTCCGGATTGTCCTTGCGCGCCCGGCTAAGTGCATAGCATCGAACCTGTCTGCCCTGCTTATTTTTAGCTTTAGCGTTATTCCTACATCCTGCACATTCCACCCTGTCACGGATGTCGGCAGCGGGAGCCTTGTTCTCTCTCGCTGGACGCCAAGCGCTAACCATGCAAGGACTGCGCACTCTTCCCCGTAATAAGTAAGGCCTCGATATCACGTCCGAGGGGCTGATTTCAAACCCAACGGGCGTCAAGGCAGAGTTGCGTTTCCAAGTCGCCACTTGTTCCCGATGGGGCGCTTGAGTTTGCCAGACGACTCGGGGATCAAGGTGTGCCAAGCGGCTGTTGATAAGCCCTGGTCAAAGTATGTGTCTAAGCCAGCGATGAAATAATCCAAGTTTGCGGTTCCAGGTTGGAGAAAAGGGCGGAGGCGTCGTCGGACAGAGCACCACCCGGGCGATGACACCTCCTTGTTGTGACGACTGCTGGTAGTTCCAGTCCGGGGGTCGGCGTATCGCAGCCCTGTGCAGATCGATATACACTCTCCTGCAGAGCGAACCCACCAACCTATCCTGTCCAGCAAGCCAGCCTGGCAAGGTCCTCAGCCTTCTTTTTTTTCACCCATCCTCCCCCACTCCCTGTTGCTTATCGCTCCTCTCTCCTACCAGGCTCCCTGCAGGCTTTCGCTTACTTTTACTCCTCTCCCCCTAGCCCGGCAGAGGACAAATCACGGCCGTCCTGTCTGTAACTTGGCCTTGACCGTTGGTCTGCCGCACCCTGACAGCAGGCGAAGCAGGAACGGCGCGCCGGACGTCCGGACTCGTCCCTCCAACCCACCCACTTGCCGTCTTACCCAGCGATACAGACGGCCAGCGCCGCATTAAAAGATTGTGACAGCTGATTGGGCCTTCCCTTCTACACCTTGTGGTTCATTGCCGCTCTTCCTTCTCGTTTCCCGCTTGTCCCTATTCTCTCGCCCGACCTCGGGTTTAGTCCCATTGTGGTAACCATGGCGCCAGGGAGGGGCGTGCACATCCCACACGCAGTCTTCCCGGCCGGCTTCCTCGCCATCGTCGCATTGGTTCCACCTGCGGCAGCGCCCGATTTGCTGGCTAGTGCCATGCTTCGTTGTTGCCTCTGTCATGTCACCTCCTGTATCCTTCAGGAACTTCCTTTGGTCCGCCCGCGTTGTCCCAAAATGGCCTCGGCCTGCAGGCGGCGGTGCTGCTGCTGCTGCTGCTGCTGCTGCTGTTGCCGCAGCACAACCGCATCGCCCAAAAAGGCCCGGTTGAAAGGGGTAGGCAGGCTAAGCGAGCAGCGGCATTGGCAAGTACTGACTGCTTGCTGCAAGTTGTGCATCTGCACTAAATCCACATGCTCGGTGCTGTCAAGACGGTTACCAGAACGCCACCGCAAACCATCCGGACGGACAGCTGCTGGCCTTGCACCATCTTCTGTTTCACCAAGCCCTCCTGCCCTGTAACCTGCCTCGGCCCCTTTGCGTGTTGCACGGTGTCCTCTCTGCCCTCGCAAGACGGTTTCCTCTTCGTCATGGCTCCCAAACGGTGGGCGTGTTGGAGATATGGCACTGGCGTGTGACGGAGAAAGCCCACCAAAGGTTGGGTTTGCAAGTTTGGAGATATGTCGTGGCCGCCAGGGGTGTGAGGCAGTGGTGAACCCTTCCCATCCCGTCAACGGCAGCCCGCACTACATCCGGTGTTCCGATGAGGCGGGAGACGACAGAAAGACTGCCCAAACAAGATGCCTTGCACAGTCCATCCTAGCAAGATTTGGCCGAGCACGGCCGTCACAAGCCAGACCCCACGGCACTGACTACAATGGTCTCGCTTTTCGTCCTCTCATGATGGCCCTGCGGCTTCGCCGCGACGGGAATAGCAAAGAAGCAGGAATCACCCCACCATCTCTACATGTCCTACGGCCGACTGGCTCGTTGGGCGCTGCACCAGCCCCTTCGCTTGTGCCTATGTTTTGACTGGTCCGGTCCGCTGGAAAACACATGAAGAAAACAAGGAGAAACCTCA